GGTGCTGCTGCTGGTGCTGCTGGTGCTGGCAGTGCTCGTGCTGCTGTTGCTGGTGCTGCTGGTGCTGGTGCTGCTGCTGCTGCTGGTGCTGGCACTGCTGGTGCTGGCACTGATGCTGCTGCTGGTGCTGCTGGTGCTGGTTCTGCTGGTACTGCTGGTGCTGCTGGTGCTGCTGGTGCTGCTGCTGCTGCTGATCCTGCCCCTGGTGCTGCTGCTGCTGCTGCTGCTGCTCCTGCTGCTGGTGGTGCTGGTGCTGGTGGTGCTGGTGCTGCTGCTGCTGCTGATGCTGCTTCTTCTGGTGCTGCTGCTGCTGGTGCTGGTCCAGCCCCTGGTGCTACTGCTGGTGCTGGTGGTAGTGCTGCTGCTGGTTCTGCTGGTACTGCTGGTGCTGCTGGTCCTGGTGCTGCAGGTGATGCTGCTGCTGCTGCTGCTGCTGGTGATGCTGGTGCTGCTGGTGCTTCTGCTGGTGCTGCTGCTGGTGCTGCTGGTGCTGCTGCTGCTGGTGCTGCTGCTAGTGCTGCTGGTGCTGGTGATGCTGCTGCTGGTACTGGTGCAGGTGCTGGTGCTGCTGCTGCTCGCACTGGTGGCAGTGCTGCTGCTGGTTCTGCTGGTGCTGCTGGTGCTGCTGGTGCTGGTGCTGCCACTGATGCTGCTGGTGGTGATGCTGGTGCTGCAAATGCTGCTGCTGCTGCTGCTGCTGCTTCTGTGCTGGTGATGCTGGTGCTGCTGGTGCTTCTGCTGGTGCTGCTGCTGGTGCTGCTGTTGCTGCTGCTGTTGCTGCTGTTGTTGCTGCTGTTGTTGCCGCTGCCACTGATGCTGCTGCTGATGCTGCTTCTTCTGGTGCTGCTGGTGCTGGTGCTGCTGGTGCTGGTGCTGCTGCTGCTGGCACTGCTGGTGAAGCTAGTGCTGGTCCTGTCCCTGGTGCTGCTACCGCTGCTGGTTCTGCTGGTACTGCTGGTGCTGCTGGTGCTGCTGGTGCTGGTGCTGCTGCTAGTGCTGCTGGTGCTGGTACTGCTGGCACTGCTGGTGCTGTTGGTGTTGGTGCTGCTGGTGCTGCTGGTCCTGCTGCTGCTGCTTCGGCTGCTGGTCGTGCTGCTGCTGGTGCTGCTTTTGGTGCTGCTGCTGCTGTTGGTGCTTCTGGAGCTGGTTCTGCTGGTGCTGCTGCTGGTGCTGATCCTGCCCCTGGTGCTGCTGCTCGTGCTGCTGCTGATCGTGCTGCTGGTGGTGCTGCTGCTGGCGCTGCTGGTGAAGCTGGTGCTGGTGGTGGTGCTGGTACTGCTGCTGCTGCTGCTGCTGCTGCTGCTGCTGCTGCTGCTGCTGCTGATGCTACTGCTGGTGCTGCTGGCGCTGGTGCTGCTGGTGCTGCTGGTGCTGCTGCTGGTGGTGCTGCTGCTGCGATCATATTTCCAGCACTGCCCCACACTGAGGGATCAGATCGAGGCACTGCTGCTGCTCCCTCGGGACCAGCCCCAGTTTGGTTGTTGCTGTCAGTGCCAGCAGAAGCCGTGGCTGGAGCAGCAGGTGCTGACAGTGCCCCAAGGCCCAGGGCTGGAGGGGTCCCTGGGCTGGGGCTGGGAGGGAGCTGCCCCTTGTTCTCCCTGTGCCTCACACAGAGCTGGGCCGGGCACAAGTGGGGCAGCAGAGCCAACAGGGAGCCTGCGAGTCTCTTCCAGCCGTGCCTGCTCAGAGTTTGGCCTTGGAGCTTCAGGTGGGCAAAGGCAGCTGCTCTGCTCCCTCTGCGTGTCCCTGTGTTCAGCAGTGCTGCTCCATCAGTCTGTGCCCAGCAACGGGGAAAAGCCTCAGCCCTGCAGGGCCAGGAGCTGCTGGGCTCTGCCTGAGCAGCTCAGCCAGCGGGAAGGGAGCTGCTCCACACAGGAACCAGGAGCAAAGGACACTTCTTTTTCATAGCATGATTTCTGTTTTAAGGGGAAAAATGCGGAAAAATAAAAGAAAAAAAACTTCTATAAAATGTGAAAGATAAAAACAGAACCCAAGCGTACAGTGAAAAATCTTCTCTAACTTTGAATTAAGGTGTAATTGGTCTTTTGAAACATAAAACACAGTTATTTACTTTGTAGATGTGCTGATGGCATGATGCATCTTACCGACCTCAGAAACCTTTTTGAAAAAGTTTGTGGGGTTTGATTCCAATATTGTTATTTGAAATTGTGGTGAAATTGGAGTGAAGCAAGAAGAAAGTGCTTTGTGCCTTGCCAGCTCCAAGCAGCACTGGGAATCTAAACTCTTTCAAACCCCAAATCCTTTAGAAGATGCCCTTCCTTCTCACCCTGTGAATGAGCTGCACATTCCCTTTCAAACATTCAGGGGTTTCTTAAAGATGCAAAGTCCCACTTACAGCTTTTTGCTCTGGTTTGGAAGTGCAGAGGGGCGATTCTTCATCCATCAGCTCCAGACTGCACTGCCTCAGGAACACAGCAGTGGCACTTCTAGAGGAGGAAGAAAGTGCAATTGCACAATTGCAGCCAAAAAGAAAGGAAGAGTGGGACACAGAAAACATCCTGTGCAGATGCAGGCATTCAGCTGGAACTGTGGAGAGTTTGGGTTCTTGCCAATTGGATGTGTGTCCCTAAGTGCAATTTCTTGGCCTGCAGGAGAGTCTCACTCACCTGCAAAAGCAGAAAGCTCAGGCGGTGTGCTGGGAACGGGCTCGTGTGATGCAAAGCTGTCAGAGCAATGG